ATATAGCTTAGGTAGTTGGTTCACTTGATTGGGTGGAAAGCTCTAAACAAAGGATCCTCGTCTGATGAATAAAAATAGATGATAAGAAGTAATTAATAGGCTGTTGCATGGATTATCATTAAGATATTTACATCCACTTAGTAATTAATATAGTTTGGCTATTAGTTATTGATGTTGCTGTGAAAAATAATTGTTGTTTTAATTAAGAACTAGTTATTCCACTACCTACTACCTACTACCTATATTATATATCATATCATGACAAACATTATTTAATAAATATACCACATACCTACATAACCATAATCAGACCATCCAGTAAAGCGGTATCGTTGTAGGCAATATTCTCCGGGAGTAGTAGTTTGAAAGGGAGAGAGATCCCCACCAATTCTATGATTCCATSACTTGTACTAACCCAAACCATCATCTTCATCTCCATCTTCATCATACACAAGACTCACCCCACACTCCGTTATACCACCATGATAATAAGCTAACGTGGAAATAGTAATTTGGTCACCATCTTCCATCTCATTCTTCCCAAACATCCAATGGCTTAAATATGTTATACCCTCTGTACCTACCTTAAACCACCCTGGAGCATCATCGATCAAGGTGCACATCTTTGTTATATTACTAATCCTTATATATGTAATAGAAGCTACAAGCTCTCCATTTGTTATGAACTCTCCATTTGTTATGAACTCTCCAGTTCTAAACACGCAGAAGAAATTCAAGCCTCTTAGGTTGCAAGGAGATGATGGGATGGTAAATGATATTGATGACCCCTCCCACCTTCTATCACCTACGCAATTCGGCATCTCTTTCCCCACATACCATGTGYTGAATATCCCAAATTCATAATCCATCTGCCAAATAAAAGCTTCATTTATTATATCTACATATTAATCACACAAACAAAAATGGTTAATGAGAACAAACCTTGACTCTTCCTTTTACTGCAGATCCACTTTTTGTCGGCTGAATTTTGGTGAAGTCAAAATTAACTAAATGACTCCACCCCAAACTACGTAATACCTTTTCCTCAACATCTCTCATATCTWCCACTTTAACTATGTCTTCAATATTATCCTTGTCATGTCTTTTCACCATCCTATAGTTTAACAGGACTGGGGACATTTCTCGATTAAATGTAGCTTCCCCATCTCCATCAAAATCAAATGTTAGTTCTTTTAGTGTACGTGGAGGATGATCCAATGACAATAGACCAAAATTCTCAATAATACTAAGTATCTCAATCCTGGAAAGACTTTTCACCCAATTGGGCAATGAAACCAAAAGATTGCCATCTAAATACAACTCCTTCAACATGGATAGGCTACTCATGTCCATCGGAAAGGATTCGTTGGACAAATTATTATTTTCTAGTGACAAACATACTAATGAACTCGGTACATAAATCAAATAGGACTCGAAAGCTCTTGGTATAGCCTCCACAATGGTAGAGGAAGAGGTTTCTGAGTTCATACCAATGTTGTTACGGTTTGGCGTTTCCTCCATGTCATCCCTCATCTCGATCAGAGTTTCACCAAGATTACAACCATCTAAATTTAGTATTTTGACGTTCTTCACCTTGTTTATCATTCTTAAAAGCTTCCCARCGTTATTGCAGTAACTCAGATCAATGAGGTCAAGTCCATCACAATGCTCAATTGACTCACAAACCTCAATCAAACTTGAGCAATTTGAAAGTATTAACCTCTCAAGTGCAGGGAATTCAGAAAATCCACCAACACTCCGAAGTTGTTCACAGAAACTCATATTAAGAATCTTCAATGAT